AAAATAAGAAGCTATTCTCCAAAACAGCCTTGATAATTTCAACTTGCAAAGTCCACCATAGTTGATTCTATTTTGCTCTTTTATCTGAAACGCCTCTGCAACAATTCAGGGAGCATAGTGCTTTAATTCCCATAATGGTACACATCACCTGTCTGTCTGTCAGTGAGACGTCTGAAAGCATCTTTTTATTAGGAACACAAATCAATATGCCCAAGGGATGACAATAGCCACTTGAAGCAATTTGTATTATCATTTCATCCTGACGCTCTTGCTAGGAGCAACTTATTCTTATGAATGGCGTGAAAATGGCAACCTGTCACAATTGATTTTTCTTAACCTTCTGTAAGAATTTTTTTCCTCTTAAATGTAATCAAGTGTCATCTTATTAAATATATCTCAAGCTCAGTTTTATAAAGCTGTCCATCAAGTTGCACTCCTTATAATTTAAACGTTCACCAAATATTATCAAAAAAGTAACTGCTTAGTAATAAAGACTTTTGATTTGTTCAAAGTTTTAAAATAAAATCATCAAGTTTGTATGGACCCATCTCCCTGCTTTCTGTTTGTATTGGTGACAGAGGAGGGAAAACATTCTCACCCTGAAAAGGAGCTCTAAGAACTTCTTTTTACTGCAGTGTGTTCCTCCATCTAACAACACTGTAGGATTTATTCTTAATCCCCACGTCTGGATAAAACATGCTGCACTTAAAGAAGTATTCTAATAAACTTATGCAATAAGCATAAAGCTATATGTTCTCATTATATAAAATCATCAAGTTAGACTTCAAGATCCAATTTCAAAGACCAATCCAAAAGGATAAATTCAAGTGGGACATGTGTCAGAGTCACTGAAATTGGTTATAGCTTAATGAACCTATGCATGAATTCTTTGTGCATCTTAGTTGCCATGACCTAAGGGGGCAGTGGCGTCAGAACCCCCCACACCCAATCACTGACTCAGATGGGCTGTGTAGGTTGATGTGAAGCTATGTCAGCAGCCCAGGGCCACTCACCTAGGGCATGAGATGAGGCTGTGTGGGCTAGGTCTTACAAAGTAAGATGACTAAGGCAGCACCTAGAGAAAGAATCTTCATTTCTATTTTTTTAAATGCACACTTGGAATAAAATAATATGATATCTGTTAATTCTAGATTTTAGGTATATGAAGCATCATCCTTCTTTTAAAAGGCAGCTAGAAGAGAATGAAATGAAGACAAAAAAGAGAATTAGCCAAAATAAGGCTTGGGACATCAGTCAAGTAGAATGGTAAGTTTAAAAATGTTTTATGAAACAACCGACAATACTGGTTTAAAACCCAACATCCATCTGGGAGAAGTTTGAAAGTACAAATGCTCATCCTCAAGAAGCTGCCACGCCAGTGGGGAGTTGCACACACTCATGCCCCCATGAGCAAGAAAGGCTGGTGGCATTCCCAGACAGAGACAGCATTCTTGGGGACAGCCTCAGGAGAGTGGGTGCTGGAAGTGCTATGATGTCTACTATCCTAACCATAGGGCTGTCACTGATTCCACTGATCTGCAGGGATGCATGTTACCTCTAATCCCCTGACATGCCCACCCAACCACCTGCCATTTTAGACTAGCCACTACTTTGCTTCCACTTTGGAGTTCTTGAAAATCAGCCTCAGGAAACCACACACCTGCTACCAGCTCTGCTACAAACCGAAAATCCCAGCACTAGTTGGGTCCGTAGATTGCTCAGAAATTCACAAGCCTCAACTGTGAGGCTACAGTCCTCTGTGCATCAGAAGGGGCCTCAAACCCTTACCATGTTCTGCATCAAGTTCATTACCTCAAATCCTGCGCATTAACTTTTCCCCCTTAAATCAGCACTGCTTTTACTGCAGTGTTTTTTATCCTAGGAACTTCAAGCAATTTTCCGAATTTTTCATGTTCCTCTTATATGCACTAATAATGAAAATACCAAGTAAATGAAACAGGGTATGAGAGAGGAGGGAGGGAGAGAGGGAGGCAGGGAGGGAGGGACTGACTGATGATTGTAAATCAAAGAAGCCATGTTTATATGGCAGCTACTCTCTATATAACAATATGTAACTTCCTTTTAAGTAACCTTATGTTTACAAATTTAAGTTACTCCTCCTGAATGCCCACAAGACTTATTTTTCTGTAGAATATTTTTAGTTCTTTAAAAACTAAGACCCTCTCTTCTTTTATTGAAAGCATTCATAGTTTTATAATATTGATTTTCTCACCGGAAACAAACAAAATCAATAAAACCCTAGTCGCGTGGTACAGTTTTTTATCTCCACTGGGTCTCCAGTGCCAGGGCTACCCACCCCCCGCCCCAAGCCTGTTCAGTCTTCCCTCTGATGCCGGTGCTCTGACATCCCATACCACACACACACACACACACACACACACACACACACTCCCCCTGCCTGACACAGCTGACCTTGAAAGAGCGCTCCCACCTGTCCTTGCATCTGAATCGCACACCAATAGATCTATGGCAATGACTGTCACTTCTGCAATGTTTCCTAACTGCACATCCCATGGCCCTCTCTTCACTGACTCTGTCCCCCTCACCTCTGCAGCACCAGTGTGCTGCTAATGACTGGCCTCTGGAAATGCCCTCTTCTCCCACTGTCCTTCCTGGCTGCTCTCCTGCTCACCACCCTAACTCCTGGCATGGGGGTTTCGACGAGGTCCCTCTTTTCTTATTAGAGACTAACCATGCGCATGCAGTGGGTAGTCAGCTCTCAATCCTGCACGAGAGGTAGGGCCATACTGCCCTGAGTCCTTCAACTTACACAAGGCCACTGAATTGCTCTGGCTGAGGAAAGGGGACCTACATAGCTCCTTGGCTGAAGCCGTGAGGTCAGCATGAACTCAGCCATTCTTCTGACTTTGTGGTCATGGAAATGTGTTTCCAGAGACACTGAGGGGCCATGATAAGCAGAGCAACTGTCAACTTTTCAGACGTGTGCAGTGAGGAGAAGAAACCTGTGTTGTAATAGCCACTGTGGTTTCAGGGCAGTCTATGTAACAGCTGGACAGAGACATGACTCTCATAAGTTGGTATTCCCACCCCAAATGATGGCTGCCAACGGGCTCCACCACAAAATCTCATCTGACCACATTGGTTAAGGTCCCCACCTACACTCCATGTACATAGCTCTCAGAATTGAGGTTAGGAACAGTTTTGCTTCCCTGAAGAAGTCCAGTGAAACCTGGGTAAATGATTCGATTTCCCTATTAAATGTTTACTTTTTGTTCCTACTAGCACTCTTTGAAGTCCAAAAGTTTGTTGGTTACTAAGCTATGTCAGAATAGTGAGCTGCAGACTTCAGACGATAATGTCGTACGAACAGTGAATAATAATCTGTCTTCCCTTCTCTACTTAGGGACTCACATATCACACACTCTTTTCACCCAGCATATGTCAATACTTCCCTGGATAAATTACATCTGTTACTTTCTGTCCATTGTAGCCTGTAACCTTTTCCTGAAATTTTCCTTTTAAATCTGACATTTAACACTTAGAAAGATTTAATGGCATATGCAAATTTAGAGACTTTATTTCTCTCCTAAGATTATTCCTTAATTTACACAAATGCTTCCATATGTAGTTGGAGCTCTGTGCATAGTGCCTTCAAGGAGAAACGAACATGGGCTGACAAGCCCCAGCCTCCTGCTCTACGATCTCCCTGCTCTGCGACCAGAGGACAGCCCTTGGCTGAGGGTGTGGTGCAGACTAGTGACCTAATGCAAAGAAGTGCTCAGCACCGTGCGTGCATGTGCACATGTGTGCCCATGTTTGTGAGTGTGTGTGCATGCATGGGCAGCACTCTGCCTTGCCTTAGCTGTCACTGCCCCCACGACTTCCATTGGGGAGGGCACGGAACATGGACTGAGCACCAGGAAGGGACCAGGCACTGGAAGAGCACATTTGCTTTATGTGTCAGGCTGTCAAGTGGCAAAGTGACGCTTTAAATCCAACGTGGAAAACTCCAAACTTGCCTTCCTATTATAAGGTATATCCTGCTAACACCAGGGAAATCTAGAAAGCTATTTTTTAAAAGGGTGTGGGAGAGGGAAGACAGGGTGGAAGAGTGAGTGCAGAGGGTCAGCGGACAGGCTTTCCAGGGTCAGGTCAGTGGAGGGATGTGTGGAACCCAGAACTGTGCACAACCTCTTAGTAAGGACTTCTTGACTGACATTGAGGGTTGGGTTCAAAATCTATGGCATTCGTCAACACTTCACATTTCATTTCACAGAAAGATAATAATGATAGGTAACATTTATTGAGTAGTAAGACACAGAATTAAGCCACATGTCCGGAGTCAAAGAGCTGGTTAGTGGCAATGCCCAGACTATAAGCCAGGAAGTCAATTGCCAGGGTTCGAGTTCTTACCTGAGGTCATAAACTTAAGAAAGGTCACCTATATAACTTTGGATGATTTACCATGCACACACGTTGAATGGATAAGTAACAATTTTAGGAATATAATTAGTTTAGAAATAGAATCAAGCAGTCTTTAAAACTAAAATCTAGTTTTTAATATACCTCTTCTAAAATGGAAATAATTTACATAAAACTAGTTTTAAAATACAACACTATGAAATTAAGTACTCTAAAAATAATGCAGATTCCTTTATTTTAAAACGAATCATTAACATAAAAATAAAGAGTGCCAATTGTAAAGTAAATAGATTGAGGAGACATTAAGAGACCCACAATTAACTGTCAAATTATGGGTAAATTATATATCCAGTAATGAAAATTTAAGAGACATATAAAACTGATTAACCAAGAAAAGATACTTTGGGAAATTCTTCTGTATGCACATGTTGTTACACAAATACAGAGAATTCTTATCCCAAATCACCAATCTTTTGGAAAGTCACTTTATGTTAAGTATTAAGCTAAAATGAATGGGCTATTCAGAACTACATGTACTTTCTTGCTGAAAGGAAAAAGCAAGTTCATTAAAGCAGTTGCTCCTTAATCTAGCCTACCTTATTTTTTGGATTGGATGTGTTCATTACACTTCGAGTCTCTTTTCCAGTATAAATGACAACACCTATTACAGTACCTGCAAAAACACGAAAGTGGTCCTTACAGAGATACTTTAAATGGTAAGCACAGAGATAATACTTTCTAATTAAATAATTTGATTGGAAATATTATTACACCATTTAATTTTATATAAATGTATCCAACAGCACATTTGATTGGATTTGTTCAAGAAAACCTAATCTTAACTTTTAAAATAAACTTTGAAAGACTAAAATGATTTCTTAGGCAACACAAATTTACCTGCAGATTACATTAGAATATGTACTAATATTCTTTGAAAACAGAGTGACATTGTTCATTCATTATTGTCTACTAAGATGGTAACTCTAACACTGAAGTTAAATGAAGAGAGGCCACATTCTTAACTGGTCAAAGTCATCATGTGACCTTTTAAACCACGATGGTACCAACTGAACCAGTTTCTGTGAACAAGAGTCTAGGAGTATATTTTACTGTAGAGATTAAAGCCCTAATATAAGAGCCTCTGCCGATATTTTGGCACATATACAATTAAAACAATAAGAGAAATATTATAAAAATATTTGATATTCAATTTAGATCTTATTAGTTTCTCTTATTCATCTCCTGAAAGTTTGGTTTTCTAATTGTATGTCAAGAAAAAAATGATAATTTTGTGGTCCATCAAACTTAAGACAAAAGAAATCATAAAGTACCCCAGAACAACCTATAGACTGCAGAAGAGGTACAGAGGCAGGCATCCCTGAAATGTCAAGTTGAAACCATGGATGTCTGTTTCTAGAACTGCAGCTGTGCATAATTTAAAATCCTAACTGAAAAATTTGAAGGTAAGAAATATGATTAAAGTAAGAAAGACAGTCAACAACCATTGTAGAATTAACTATGATAATTAAGCCCTGATGTCACATTAAGTTAAGGTGTGGTATTTAGTGAGTCATTAGGCAGGACCCTCTGAGTAAGTGCGATCACAGGATTTCCTGGACATAAAGCACAATGACAGCTCATGTTCCACAAGTCACAGGACAAACTGCCTCCTCCACAGGGCGTTCAGGAAGAGAGCACTAGAGTACTACTAAGCAGTGAAATCTGTAGAGGGGACACATATTTTTTTGTTTTAGAATAAACACCCTCCACACACACCTTTTAAAACTGTGTGTCACTGGAGAAGCTGTGTTCTTGAAAGCAAAGTGAACTCTAAACTGTACAAATGCTATCTTTATATATTATCCTATCCTATATAATAAAAGCCTAGGTGGTGCCATGCCCTCGCGCCACGCCCTGGTGCAACGTTGTCACAAGATGGCCGCCACAAGATGGCCTCCCTCACATCATCACAAGATGGCTGGCAGGGAGGGGCAGTTGGGGGCGATTAGGCCGGCAGGGGAGGGCAGTTGAGGGCGACCAGGCCAGCAGGGAAGGGCAGTTGGGGGCGATTAGGCCGGCAGGGGAGGGTAGCTGGGGGTAAACAGGCCAGCAGGGGAGGGTAGTTGGGGGCAACCGGGCCTACAGAGGAGGGCAGTTAGGGGCAATCGGGCTGGCAGGGGAGTGGTTAGGGGGTGATCAGGCAGGCAGGCAGAAGCGGTTAGGGGGCAATCAGGTAGGCAGGCAGGTGAGTGGTTGGGAGCCAGCAGTCCCGGATCGTGAGAGGGATGTCCGACTGCCGGTTTAGGCCCAATCCCTGCGGGCAGTCGGACATCCCCCGAGGGGTCCCAGATTTGAAGAGGGTGCAGGCTGGGCTGAGGGACACCCCAACCCCCATGCACGAATTTCATGTACCGGGCCTCTAGTTATTCAATAAACTTCCTAGACATTCTGTCTGTTAACATATATATAGAAAAATATTAAATTCACAATGATATAATACTTTAAAACTTTCCTAATTTGCCAATTAAGTTGAACTTAATCAAAATATAAAAGTGTCACTAATGTAAAATAAGCATAAAAATAGAACAAGGAAAATTGCAAAATTAATTTATTTCTAATTAATTTATAACAAATAAGTCTCAGAAAAGGCTTGAAAGTTAATCAAGCTAAAAACCACTGTCCTAATGTGCAGGTAGGTGACTAGTGATGTTGACTCCAGGCTGGCATTACACTTTAAAGTGTCCCAGATGAAGTCTGTGAAATGACAAGACCAACAGGAAACACTGCATTCAGACACATAAAGACTAAAATCAGTATTTGCATGTTAAATATAACATACACAAGAATTTGACAGAATTCCTCGTGCAATTTTATGTACTTAATCTATTAAAGTTTGTTAAAGACTCATGTATTATTTCATTTAATTCTTACTAAAAATGAGTACTTGCTGGAGTCAGAATAATGCATTTTTTTTCTGAGTCTCTCATGCATTTTAATTACTAAAATTACTAGTCAGAACAGCATATTTGAAATATCCTCCATTCTCTTTGACAAAAGGTATATATTTATAGGCTAAAAGAATGAGTAAACCTGTACACATGGCCAATCAAAGAAACGTAGGGAAGGGGTTACCTGTTAATTTAAAAATGAGACGTGAGGGGGCAACAAGATATAACACATTCGTCAGACTTAAGGAAAGATTGCATATGTGAAAGACAAGATGTAGGGGAAGAACAAAAGACACAGACTGAGAGAAAGATCAAGCAACCAAAGTCTTTCTTGATCCCAATCACATACCCAGAACCTGCTACACACAGTAAGAAACTGGGGCCCCTATTGCAGCCTTAAGGATTGGCTACAATTTATAGATGCTTTCCTGGAGTCAGTCTCAACAAAACCTCACATACAAGCTGCTTGAGCATCCCTGTGTAGGGGGGTGGGGGGTGGGGGGGGGAGAAGCACCAAGCAGTGGAGACACAGTGGTGACAGTGAACCAGTGACCACTACACACCTGCCAGATATACCCACATGCTCCAATGAAACTAATAAATCAGCCTCAGAAAAGCCACACAAAGACATGATGCAGGGACACAGAGTGTCAGATGGGACCTGCACCAGATCGGGGCTCCGGCAACCATGCACATCTGGGGAAGACATCAGAGCAACAGAAAGTGTGCAGAATTTCTCCACCTACCTCCCATCCTCTACACTTGCCCATGAGACAGAAGGTTTGAGAAGCTGCAACTCCCATCCCTGTTGTGGATGACGTACCCCATGCTGCAGTGGGTTCTTTGCTGTCCCCACGTCCCCTGTATGCTCAGCCAGAAGCTGGTTTGTCCCTGTCCCAGAGCTCGGGGCTGTCCCTCTGGGGCTGTCCTCATGGAGCAGCTTCTCCAGCTACCCTAACCCTAGACAGAGTAACCTACTTCTAGAGCAGGGGCCCCACCAACAATGAATGATAAAGGGTCAGGTTTTATTTTTAAATTATTAATATGTTGTGAGGACTAGTTCTGTAAAATACCACAACAATAAAGTAACAAAAGAAACAATATAAAAACAAGAAAATATATGCCCCAATTTTTCTAACATTAAATTACTTCATGAGTTGCTATAAAAATTTCCAAATGTTTCATCTCATTTTCTGCATTTATCACAATCACTGTCAGCCCTGGCCCTGGGCTTGTCTGAGATGCAGACTCTCAGGCTTGTCTGACACTCACTGAACTGGAGTGTATGTTTAGTAAAGTTTCCATGTTATGCCAGGCATTTTGAGAAACACTTGTTTGGAGTCACTCAAAAACACAAAGCATCACCTATTATGTGAGAATTAACTATAAAAATAGAGCTTATTTCTTACCTGATGCAACAACCGTGCTTGCCCACAATGTATTTTCTATGCTGAGACTCTCATGAATGGGTGGATCACTGTCTTCCTGTTCAGGAAAAGAAAAGGAAAACAATACTAAGTTACCAATATTTGTATTACTCACACTTCAGATATCTATAGCATTAAAAAGAAGTCCACAGCTGGATCCAGTTGACCAGCAGTGAAAGGGCAATGCAAAATAAGATGGAAAAAAGGAATTGAGACAGAGAATTCTGAGATGGAAGAGCAGGAAGAACCAGGAATTTCTCCCCATCTGAACAACAACTACAGGGCAGAATCTGCCTGATACAACTCTTTTAAATAAAAGTTTGTTATATTTAGCTTACATACACAATGAGTGTATTTGATTTAACAGAAGACTTAACTCACCCTGGTAAATGTGCCTTCAAAGCTGTGAATATCCAGCTGTGGCTTCTGAGCATGGACATAAGCACTGATGGAAAACAGGTCCTGGAATACAGAGTACCTAAATTAGTAACATTAAAATTAAACAAAGTTTCTTTAAAATTTTCAGTTACCAATTAATATTTTTCTATATTATTTACCAAAAGTGATGGTTGATTTTCTTATATTTTGTGTGCCAACATTATGAATTAGGATAGAAGATAACTAAAAGAAACCATTTCTAAGCTCAAGGGAGGTGGGGCAGTTCTCTTGATGCTTAACAGAAGCACTGCTACTTGATGACAGGTGTGTTCCAAAGCACTTGTGAGATGCTGATAAGGGTACAGAAAGTTTGGTTAATTTTATTAATAGGAGCTATATTACCGTTAGCAATCTATCTAAAATAAATTTCAGTTTTTTTAATGACGCACAATGATTTTTACCGGATCCCCTGGAATATACACATGGAAAGATCCTCATCTGTCTGGACTTGGACAAATCCACACCCCACATCGATTCTGACCGCCTGTAAGGCAAAGCTCCAAGCATGCAGATGTGAAGCACACCTGAATTCAGACAGGGACAGGCAAATGACAGTGTGTGTGGAGAGTGACCAAATAAGTCTGTGATGACCCAAACACACTGGTGCATTTTTCAAATTGATCATGTGGACCCCAACAATAATGCGTAAATTACATCCACTAATGGAGATTACTTGTACTTGCGCTTTTCTTAAGGTAAAGTTTCAACAGTCTTTTAATTATTGATATTTTAGTGTTGTTTTTTTTAATATTTCTAATTGGCTTCAGAAAGCTGGACAAATTCAATACAGAAATTTAAAAATATTGGTCTTTTACTGAAGGGCTGAATTTGACTGGGATGTTGACATTGGTCCATAAACGTGAAGAGTAAGGAGTTCAAGCCTGTCCTTGTCTCGTGCTCCTGTTGGCACTGCTGCCTATAGGCTGCACAGGGCAGTGGTAGTGCCCTGGCCTCAGCCTGCTCCTGTCTGCAGGTCCTGTGTCCTCTCATGAGGACCAGGATTCCTTTTCCATTTTATTAGTACTGTGAGAGTTATCAGCAGATGTCAGGTAACCTGAAGATAACTGAAAAAGCTCAGGAGAATAAAAAAGAGACTTAAATTATAGGAAAATTCTGTAATAGGACTACAGGTTTGACAGAACAATCTAGAGACTATTAAAAAGATTAATGAAGAGAAAACTAACGACTCAAGCTGCACACCACGTCAAAGCTGCTTGGGGGACAGACAACTCTGCAGCTCTCCAGCTCTGAACTCTGGTTCCTGAACGGGGCGGGGGTGGGGGGGTAGGGATAACATTCTGGTCTGTCCTGAGTTGCACCAGTGCCATGCCCTCAACACTCCAGTGTGCTGGACACAGACTGTGCTCCCGTCTAGACAGCTCTGGGACTTTCCTTGGTGTGGGGCTGATGCCATATCTGAGCCAGAGCTCTCAGGGCACAGCCTGGAAGTCTCATCACTTGGAACCCTGGACTCACAGACCCTAGATGCCCATACCGAACTCTCATTGTCTGCCAGGAGTGTTTTGACCATGACCCGAGCAATGCCAAACTGAGTGCAGGAATGGCCTTATGGGGACACCTGGGACTGGTGCAGAATTTGAATGCCTGGGAGGGACATAAACCATGAAAACTGGATGCTGGCTGGGCCCTCTGAGCTGACCACAATCAAGGGGCCATCTGAAATTGAGCCACTTTTGCCTCAACATGTGACCCCTGCTCACAGCTGCAAGTGGGAGGCCCACCTTCCAAGGTGTCATTGCTGTCACCTGTATGCTGGCACTCCAGATCAACTGCAGTTCGAAGCAGTTGATCATGAGCCTAACCTGCTTCCCTCACTTTCCTTCTGTTCAAAGGCCTTAGTAAGGCAGCTTTATTACCGAGTGCCACTGTCCCAGAGAGGGAATGATCTGTTCTGGGCCACTCCCAAGGTAAATGGAGGGGATGACTGAAAAGACATGGAGTTAGGATTGCTGCCTGACACCCAATGACGCTGCCAGAGAATACTGGACAGGGCACAGGAAGGAGGCAAGGTCATCCCTAGTCCGGCAGAACTGTCTGCATGCTCTCCCCTCCTGCTGCCTGAGGGAGCTTCTCCCGGGTTTAGAGATCAAAACTCAAAGGGACAGCTGGGTTTTCTCAGGTGGACTTTTGGGTAAATGGGTGCCATTTCAACTGGCTGCATCCAGGACCCATACAGGACACACCTGAGACTAATAGGGCAGGCTGGTCCCACCCAGCTGGGTGAGGTCCTAGAATCCTATATAATAAAAGCCTAGTATGCAAATTAACCGAATGGCAGAACGACTGGTCGCTATGATGTGCACTGACCACCAGGGGGCAGATGCTCATATAGGAGCTGCCCCCAGCCCGCAGGCCCAGGCTGGCAAGCAGGTGCTAGCGCTTCTACTCCAATCATCCCCGCCGGTTGACCCACAGATCAGCCCTGATCGCCAGCCAGGCCTAGGGACCATACTTGTGCACAAAATTTCATGCACCAGGCCTCTAGTAACAATATAAATTACCTGTAAAGATGCCTTGGCCAGCGTCTGAAAATGTGGATTTCAAGAGGGTTCCCAGCATTCCCAGAGAAGAAAGGCTCACTGGGCCTAAACTGTTTATTCGAGCAACATGTTTATGCCGAACACCTGCTTTTCTTCTGGGCAAGCCGAGGTGCCAAGGGACACCCTTCCCCTCGCAGACAGCACTTCATATGCATCCTCACCACCTGCTGCTGACAGGACTCAACGTGTCCAGTGTGAGTCCACTGGGAACAGCAATCAAAACCACACTCCGGCCTCTGTTCTGGGAGCTGCAGAACAATTCTTCTCCAGCCCCAGGCTGTGTTCTTATTTCCACGATCATGTCCTTCAATGAGGTCTCACCTCCACTTAATCCTTCTTCGTGGCTTCTTTCAGACTGCAGTGTCCTCTGAGATTTCTCAGAACACACCAGAGATTTGCACAATGCTCTTCTACTCCTGGAATGGTTTTGCAATGCACATGGCCTTTCCATTCCTGCTACTTCTAAACATGTATTCAGGGTCCCTTTGCCAGGGAGGCAGAACATGCAGGGCTCCCTGCTGTGTACACAGCCTCCCATCAGGGCTGCTCTGGGAGCAGGAGTCTGGCTGCTGGCTGTATGTCATCACTTGCAGAAAACAGACAATGGCCTAAAAATGATATGGCCTCCTCCACTTCCAGGAGTCATGTACTATTTTGCTGTTTACATTTCATTTCTTCCTTTAATCTAGGTGAGAGAGGGATATACACATTTTCAAGTTGCTTAGAGTTCCTGAGAACAACTGTGAAGTAACTGATTATAGTACAGATGATAATCATGACAAGATTCTAATGGGGGCGTCTGTTCTGAGGACCCTAATGACTGGAGTCTCAATGCCTCACCCAGTGAGAAGTGTGATGGCAAACGAGGGACAGTGAGATGAAGATCACTGTCCACCACTCTGCCATGGCCTTTAAAGGCAGAACTTCGAGCTTCAAATAGGCGCATGGCCCCTATAAACAACACACACAGCTAGCTCTCACCAGGTGGCTCATTCTAGTGGTGAGATGTGATGAGAAGTGCCGAGTGCCTGGGATGAGAGTGCTCTCCCACGCACTTCCCCTCCTGCTGGCTGAGCCGGCTGGGAGCAGACATTTGGGACAGTGAAAGTCACAAATGGAGGATGACAGAGCTGTCTTCTCAGCCTGGGACCACTGACCTCTGGGATGTTGGTGAAGGAGAAAAACTTCTCTCTTGATTTGAGGTGGATCAATACAGGAAACAGAAACCACTCCTCAGAGCAGAATGGGATTGAATACATAAAATCAGAGGAGGGAAGAGGACCAATACTAACCTCCAAAAATTACTCACAGAATGTTACCAAAATGATTCTCCATGGAAAACACTGTTGCCACTATCAAGTTCAATACACAGCAACCCTGCCGCAGAGAACCGCCAACGCCAACGGGCAGAAAGCTAGCGCATCCCTGTCCCTGACTTACACACTCTCTGGGAAAGCTCCTCACACACCTTCCAGGAGGCCTTGGAGCAGAGATGCTACACCAGCTGAAGGGGGAGTACAGCAGCTCAACACCGTGGGTCTGTGACTGCAGCAGAGACTATATATTAACTAATAAAAATTTATTTTCAAGTTAATTAAGTCAAGCTAGTTTACACAAGAAGAAATACATTGTATAGTAATTTTAGACTTATGAAAACATGACTAGAATGTTTAACAAGCAGCCAATGATTCCTAGGATAAGGCCAGTTTGAGAATCATTCATCAGTTTATTATACCATCATAGTAATTTTCAAAAAATAAAATGTTCATATAACAGATTACCTTTGGAGACATGGAAATAAAGAACAAGCTAGCAACCATCCTCACTTCAACATGTGTATGAACATTTAGGGGAATGCATTTCATCTAGTATAGTAGACATCAAATGACTGAATGATGGCACAATAATGAGAATGCCATTCGAAGCTTTTCATGATAATTTAAAAACCATTCTGAAGTTTTCAATCATGTAGGAAAGCCTCTGCTATTAGGTCAAGGGCAACATTTGTTCGCATTACTTAAAGGTCATTAAAATACATCCTTAATCATAACATGTGGTTCATTACAAATAAAATTGCCTTTCGTTCAATAAAACTCATTAAATGTAAATGGTATTGTTTACTGCTATATGGATCCTTTAAAATAAATCAGCAAGTCATGATTTATTGAAAATTACTATGACCTCATTGTTGTTAATAAATTTGCCTGATCACAAAAGCTAGAAACATATTTTCCGAATGTCTAGGGTGCCTGGAATGCGTACCTCCTAGACAGGCGCCTGTGCAGTACCAAGACACAGAGCCAGCACTGCAGGATCTGCAGCACAGCTATATTAAAGGGCTTGTCGAAATTTTAATTCTCTGATCACATTAGGTGCTCTGGGAATGCAACCAAATTAGAGAGGTTATTCTTGATGGTGTCCTCAGTTCATTAAGGAAAGCTCTAAGATCTGTAGGTTCACTTATTCCTTGTGTCACGATGGACACAATGCTCAACTGATGATGTGTCAAATAGCGAAGAACACCAAATATTCCCGAAATCCATTACATTAGAAACAGAAAAGTCAAAATGAGTGACAGTTATGGGCAGCATAAGCTATTAAATGAAAGACTAAATTGCCTTGTCTGTATCCATAATCAAATTACAGCTTTCTTTTCTATGAAGAAAGTTTCTATACATAATCTGCCCAATTATATAAAGCTACACATTTAATCTGATTGATGAGTCAGAAATTCCATTAATTTTTTTTTAATATACTGCTTTTTGGTTTTGCAGTAATATCAAAATTTAAAACTTTTTCATTTACTACACAGTTGTTCAATCCAAATGCTCAATGCTAGTCCCTATCAAAATATATCAACCATAAAAATTTTTAATTAGCATATGACTTACAAACTATAACTTTGTAAATATTTTGAAATTTATATGTTTTTGTCAGTAACAAAAATGAAAAAATCTTCATAATACTGAATCTGATAAAATGTCAGTTCCTGTCATCATGAGAATACTAAAAAATACAGATAATTACAGTGTAAGTTCAACTACTTTCTTTTTTTTTTAAAATATATTTTATTGATTTTTTACAGAGAGGAAGGGAGAGAGATAGAGAGTTAGAAACATCGATGAGAGAGAAACATCGATCAGCTGCCTCCTGCACATCTCCAACTGGGAATGTGCCCGCAACCCAGGTACATGCCCTTGACCAGAATCAAACCTGGGACCCCTCAGTCTGCAGGTCGACGCTCTATCCACTGAGCCAAACCGGTTTCGGCTCAACTACTTTCTTAAGATATAATTTACATGCAATAAATTGCGCATGTTTGAAGTATACAACTTCATGCATTTTAACACATGTATATGCTTATGACATCGTCACCATCAAGCTATGGGTCATTTCTATCCCCCTGGTCAGGCCTCCCTGCCCTGCTCCCAGCTTTCATCACCCAAGTTATGGGACATTTCTATCTCCCTTCATCAGGCTTCCCTACCCTGCTCCCAGCCTCCATCACCCAAGCTGTGGGACATTTCTATCTCTCCTCTGCAGGCCTCCCTGCCCTGCTCTCAGCCCCCATCACCCAAAATGTGGGACATTTCTATCTCCCCTCTGCAGGCCTCCCTGCCCGCTCTCAGCCTCCATCACCACTGCCCCACTTCCTTAGAATTCTTAATAATGCAACCACACCCTACATGCTTTTGTTTGCTTGGCTTATGTTTGGCTTTCTTTAAAACAAAGTTTTTTCTAATACAGTGTTTTAACCCTGCACTTTATCTTCTATCACTCTTAAACCTACTATAAATGATTATTTAATGCAACTCTTTCCAAGTATCCACTCCAGTGACTCTAGAAATCCTGGAAGTGGGGCTGCCATCCAAGAATGACAGCCAACTGAAATCCTTCCAGTCATTTAGGATTCATGATCTTTCCTTCCCCTTTAACCCTGGAGAGATTACTTGAGGATGCTTGCTAGAAAAAAGAAGAAAGGACACAAAGAGTAAATACTCTGTAACCGAGCAAAATAGCACCACCCCAACAACTGGCTCAATGCTATAGAAAATCAGCAGGCTGCAAGAATGTCTAATGACAAGAACCAATTCATTTTAGCAAATAGTACAAGAACTCAGCTGGATGCTTAAGTAGTAAGGTGATGGCACATGGGAAAATTTTTTAAGCACACATGGAACACTGGCCCAGAGACCATCTGTGGGGCAAAATCACAAGTCAATACAGATAAAAGGACTGAGATAGAACTGAATACATTCTGTTAACACAACAGAATTAAATAACAAATAAATTATCAGACATTAAGAAAATCCCCAAATATTTGGAAAATAAACAATATCCTTTCAAGTAAATGAGGGGTGAAAGAAGAAACCATAAAGAAATTAGAAACATTTTAAACTAAATGATAATGAGAGTGCAGTCTATAAAAATCTGTGTGACACAGGCTAGGTAATACTTAGGAGATCTATAGCTCTAAACGTTTCTGCCAGAAAAGACTAAGGTACAAAATCAAGAGTCTAAACTTCTTTAAAAAGTTAAGCAAGAAAATTAAACACAAACTAAGTAGGATGAAGAAAATGAAGATAACAGAAATCAGTAACACTGAAAATAAACAGACAATAATCAATCAAACCAAAAGCAAGTTCTTTGAAATGATCACTAAAATTGATGAACCTCTGGCTAGACTGACCAAGAAAAAAGAGATGTATATTACCAATATTGAGAATGAAAGAGGTCTTAAGATCAACAACTACTAAAAACAATAATCAAATATTATAAATTTGGCAACTTATATGAAACAAATAAATTCATCAAAAAATACAAATTTCCAATGAACAGAAAATTTGATGAACTCTATTATCTAATTCAGAAAGTTAATCACAATTAAATACTTTCCCACAAAGTATGCTCCGAGCCCAGAGAGTTTCAAGGGTGAATTTGTTCAATATTTAAAAAGAAATAACAATACTATTATACAAGTACTTCAAAAAAAATACAGGAGACAAAAAGACTTCCTAACTCATTTAATGAGGCCAGCGTACCCCTACATATCAAAGCAAAAACATTAAAACAAATACAACACAGACAAATATCCCTCATGAACATAGGCATAAAAAAATCCTTCATAAAATATCAGCAAATCAAATACTGCAATATATGAAAAGGACACGGAGCATGATCAAATGAATTTCAATAGAGGGACCACCTAACGTATAGGCAACCGAAAACACCCACAGAATAAACTATTCCTGAGTCTTAAACATGTGAACATAACAGTCCAGGACACAGGGGAATGAGGAAGGTTCGTGCTGAATACGGTGATGAACTGTTAACTGGACGCGACACAAGTAGGTTTTTCTATCCAAAGCCAACCAACCTAAGGAAAGGGACCAAATCCATGGTATCCAATTCTCTCCCCTTAGAGCGGGGAGGGGAACGTCTGGCCCAAGGCCCACATAAGGCCTGCGAAATCATTTTGTCTGGCTCCACCAAGGCATTAAGGGTGAGTTCATTAAATGTTTGACCAAATATAGCAGGCTAACTTTTAAGTTGATAAGTTTCTATGGCCCGAGAATGATGTTATAAATATCCAAACAGCCCTTGTCAGAAAAAAGGTTCCCCACTTCTACCTCAGAGATTCTCAATCTTTCTTCATTGTCCATTGAATATCAGCGAATCATATAAAATGAAACTTCTCTCAATCAGATAAATACTACATATAACACAAAGTAAGCACCAAATGGCCACAACTGTGTTTTTATTTTTTTAAATTGATTTTTTTTAGAAAGAAGGGAGAGAGAGAGAGACTGGGGACCGAACCCGAAACCGAGGTATGTGCCCTAACCAGGAATCTAACCAGCCACCTTTCAGTATAATGGATGATGCTCCAACCAACTGAGCCGCACTGGCCAGGGCACCAAAACTGTGATTTTATTTCAATGGACCACTGAACCCTCACCAAAGCTCTCCATTTCAAAGATTACTGGACAGAGAGGGTTTAAAAATAAAAACAAAAAGGGTGAGAAAGAAAGAAAACCTCAGTGTCAAGTTGGTAGGAACATTCAAAACTATACCTCAACAGGTTATATGCTAAGATAGCACAGAAATTATTTTGGCATAGTTTTCAATGTCCTTCATTAGTAGTAAATATTATTTTTTAAAATTATCGATGCATTCAATACATTAGTTGGTACAAACAGAAATTCACTAAACATAAATGATGGGGTAACTGCAGTGGTGCTCACCCCCAGAGCTGGCAGCCTCTGCGTGCAGCTCACCGCCACTCTCAGCTTCCAGTCAGTTTCGCCATCTAGTTGATCCGTTCGAATAAAACATGAACCTTAGAATTAGAAAAGAAAAATTTCTGAGTTAGTTACTTTAAAAACTAAAATTCTACAACACAGTCAGATCCAAAACAATATCCAAAGAAATTCCCATAAACAAAATTCTTTATTTGATTCTCAAAAGGAGTTTGCTGAAAAGATACAGATGATTAACTATTTGCTCATCTCCTATTTGACGTTCTTGGCTATTAAGGTTTAAGATTAATAGCACTTTATTTTAGAAAGACCACACTGATCATTTCTACCTTTGATTCATGTTCTGATAACTAAACAATAAGTAAATACTCAAAAATATCCAAGAATGTGTGATATGACTTTGATAATAAAATGTCTGAGGTACCATCAGAAAACACACATTCCTCATCATAAAGGCACAGTTAAAATGCCAAAACCCTGGCCAGACCTACTGTCATACTGATAACCCTATCAAATCTTATGAAAAAATATTAAATTTCAACAATCCTATCCTTTGACCATGCTATCACACCATTTCTCAGAACCCACCCTAAGACAGAATAGCACATTTTGTATGCACAGAATGACATACACAGATGACAATCATGTGATGTTATTTCTCAAATTTGGGGAAATATTTAAGGTAGAGAAATAAGAACATCTCTTCACACAGCTTAGTCCACTACACCTAACACACATTCTAAAACCAACATGGAACTGTGCCAACCCCATCTATACCAGCCTCGTGTTCACTTAAACTGCAGAAGGGCCCCTGCACACCATGGGCATTCTCTGCTCTCTCACGTGGCAAAAATACCAGACACCAGCCAATGTTCTTTCTGCTAATCATAACCACCAGCAATTCAGTGCCAAAAGTGTGCCCCTTGAGATCCCTTCACCATTAACTTTTACCCTTTAACCAGCCTATGCCAGGGGCATCACCATCGCCAACATGAATCCTGGAGAGTCACAGAGAACAGCTCACCTTCCTCAGGCACAACAGGATTGATTTTCCAATTGCCCAGTTTATCAAATGAAGATATATCTACAAGAATATCATCTGAATATTTGCATGATTACCTCATAGCCTGTGTGTGTGATCTGATATAAAACATAAAAGTAAAAGGGACTGGATTTCAAAGTCTGACTGACACTTTGAAACATCAGTGCCAGAGTTCTGCTCCAGGTTTGTTTTCTAATACATAAAATAAGAAAAGGTGAGACTCTCTAGAGTTTCTTAAATTTTAAACATTCTGTGTTTCTAAAGGTGAAAGCTTTTCTAGCTAGATTGCTATAACTTATGAAACACTGGAAACAATACAGTTGCCTTTCTTTGCTTTATGTTAAATAATTATGTGCTATTTTAAAAATTTACAGGAAATTGACATTTATTTTCCATTACAGTAAACATTACTAATGATGAAGTAACTGATATGATTTAAAGAGAGAAGGAGCTGCATAAGTATGGCCAAGTGGACTTATCTTACATGAACTATATCTACTAATTTTTTTAACAGCAAGCATGTGCTTCAACTGATGCCAGTTAAGGCTCAGCAAAAATCAATTATTAAATTGGTCTGCTTATATCCTATTACAGTCTTATTATGAATGCTTGATTTTATTTTGTATAATTGACAAGAGCTGACAGGTCAAATGACAATAAAATTGAGATCTACCAGTATATGTGTCACATAGGAGAGCCACACCAGGTGGTGACAAAGGAACTGCTGGGACTTTGTGAGAAGCAGTACAAGTCTGTCATATTCTGTACAAGTCACCCTGTAATATCAGCAGACTACCTGCAACAGTTCATGAATCCAATAGCTCTGAAAGAAATGGGCTACAGTATGTGCCCAACAAAAGAAAAATAGACATTGACTTTGCATATATAATAGCAGATCGTTTGCCATCAAATTTAATTTCTAAATCATTTATATGACTTAATGACTCTGCATGAAATTTTTAAGCTGGTGGCAAGATGAATAGCACCACCGAGAGAACATGGATGAGTACAGTGTCATTTACCTGCCCCTCACCCCACAACAAGTGACAGCTGAGCTATTGTAATATGTCCCCAGCACTTAAACTATAATGTCATCACTTAGGAGACAAGTGAAAAAGATATTGGCATTTATAAGAGATTGATGAAAATTAGTTCTCAAGCATTAATTTCTCTTAATACCACTAAAAGAACTGTGTGCATTCAGGAGATATTTGATCTGAATTAAGAAACGGATGAAGCAATTGATTAATTGGAATTTAAGCCATCAGTCACCAGATCCATCAACAGCTTCATTTACATTCTAAACAATCAGCTGACGGCCCAATAGAATACCCTGTATTAATACACAGTCAATATGATGCCACGAAGAGACTTGCAGAGCTGTATTGACAAACGCCCCATGGCTATTGTCCAGGCTCGAACAGCTGCATAGATTTAGGACTTTCATGTTGGCTTGGGCTTAAAGATTTCTATTATAACAGACAATGTATTATCAGGTTTTTCTGAACAAAAACTGAAAAGTAATAAAATAATATTAGCAGTGATAGTAGACACACACAAAATTCTAAATATGTGTACTTTTGAAAATTAGGCAATTAAGACACTCAAAACAATTACTTAAGAGTCATATAAACAGAATTCCCAAAGCTAAAAATCCTTGACTGAAAGCAAGTTTTGTACAAATTCTATACAGCAGGGAAGCTTTTGGTCCATTCTACAAAGTAAAGAAAACTAGCATGAAACAGATATTGGACATTTGAAAGTTTGCATATGAGTAATTAGTAATTATTTTTGTAATTTGAGATAAAGAAAGAAGAAAACTGAGGAATATAATAGAATCATAGGCTAAAACAAGTAAGGTCCTAAACCCAGTTCCATTAATAACCTTCCAAAAATATATAAAACAATAAAAAATTAGAATACATGTATATTCTGTACGTTTTTTGTGGGGAACAAAGAAATAATTTTTAAGATACTCAAAGAGATCCTTGACCTCCAAAATATTAAGTATCCTTACACTACACAGTAACTGTCCCTATACCATGAAATATAACGCAAAATTAAAGAAAAATAAAAGAAGAACTCTTTGAAACATCATCAATTTGGACAGAATGCTATTAATCTACAATTAACACAGCGGAGTATCTCCCTTGCCCAATGTGCTATTTCTATTTCTGTCTTGCTGTCTTACTACTGCATAACAATGACACAGTTTAAAAAGATTATTAAGACGCCTAAGAAGAATTTTCAAAACTGCTATTAGTAATATAATCTTTAGTGAAGAATTTATGTTCTCAGATTCCTCCTCTGAAAAATGGACATTTCTATTTTCCAGTTATAAAATGCTGAATTTTCTTCATTTTTTATCTCCTAACACAATCTATATACTGCACTTCTTTTAAGTTGATCATCTAAAACCATTTCCATATTTAGGGTAATATTCTTAATCTTACATATATTTCCAATACAGTCATTAAAAGAACAATTAATAAAAAAGCATCTTCCAAATGGAAACATTTTTGTTATTCATTATAATGAATATATTTAGAAACAAAGACAAATCATAAATAAGTAGGTGATGTCAGCAGGGATGGCAGTGTAAAAAAATCTCTGAAAATCCATTTCTCCACAACTACATGAGAACATTAGCAAAAACTGTTAAAAGTAACTTATTCAGAACTCCAGAATATAATAAAAAATTTGCAACAATCTCAGGTGCATTTATTCAAGAAACACAGCTAAATCTAGCTAAGAGTGAGCTGTGTTTTGACTTGCCCTGTTCCCAACATTCTGCCCCATCTCCACAGCTCCACAGTACTGAGAAAACCAATAATCTAGCAGCCACTTAATGGCCCAAACCCAACTCAGGGGTCCCCAAACCCCATGACCAGAGAACTGTGACCACCTGACAGGATTTGACCTGATGCAGAGGTCATTCACTGAAAACAGTGTTTTCCCTGGGATGTTTGTAAAAAACAATTGCTTAATGTCATTGCTGCCTCAGGTGGTCATAAAGCTGGGGTAACAAGCTGAACAAAAAAAGTTAGAAAATCAGATGACAGAAAGGGGCTTTGAAAAGCTCTAACACATTCCTAGGAGCCTAGAAGGCCATCTGCCCAGGCAGGGCTGCCTGCATGCCCCGGAAGGCCTAAGAGGCCCTCATCTCTCATGGCTGAGCTGGAGGCTCTATAAAAAACAAGAAGTGAAGGGAAAGGCAAAGCTGTGACCTGCCTGCTACAGCACTGCAGGTGTTAAGAGAACACTAGCTATTTTACAAGATAAACCTCGAACATGGGAACTTCAAGAATATTTCTCTCGCACAGAGTCCATTACCAGAAGTGGACTCTGGTAAGGAGAGTGAACTCTGTTCCACAGTCATTCAGGAACCTAAGCTGAGGAATGCTCTGCCGTTTCAACAGGCAGCTTTTAAGGTTATCCTAGTCATGTATTATTGTGGGCCCAGTCGTGCAGGGAGGAGAAGAGCAGGTGGCTACAAGAGGTAAAGGCCAAGGCCAACCCTCAGGACATGACCTCACCTACCTGGACAGGAAAAGGAGTCCAACTGTATTTCCAAGAGGAAAGGAAAATGGACTGGAAATGTAGCTTTCCAGTCTCTACCCCTTTGGGAAAACAAAACCTCCCATTAAGTCTCACACAATAAAGTAAATGTGCCAAATATACCGAGTTCGCTTGATTATTAGGTGTAGCTGAGCTATTAAAGGCAGCCTCACCTTGCAATATGAGTAACATAGCTACAGTTGATAAAAGGAGGAAATTTTTTTCCTCTTTCTCATGACTTAAAATGCCATTTTAAGAAAACGCTGTTTATAAATGGAAAAAATTAAATCAGCAACTCTAAATACAGAGATCATGAGTCCTAAGGGGAGCAATTTGGCTTTGCTCTCTTTTATATCCTAAGCACCACATAGTGCCTGAAATATAGTAAGTGGTAAGTAAATGTTTGCTGAATTAATAAAATTGCAAATGCAGAATAGCAATAAAATTTCCAATAACATCATCTAATTATTTAGATACCAATTTAGACATGAATGACAGCACTCATTTGATATATAGATTCTGAAAGGATTATATTTTTTAAACAAACATATTATACAGTAAAATCATTGTTTTAAATATCAAAAATTAAATGTAATTTAGAAATTAATGAATTAAATGATTTATTATTCAAAGAAAAATTGGTATATTTTTCCTTTTAAAATGAAAATTAAACTGCCAAAATGCCAAATCATCAACAATGTAAATAAAAATACCTGCTTTTTCTGAAGTCCTAAGAAATACCATGTCCGATGGAATTCTTTGATTCTGTAGAGAGTAATATAAAATGTTAATTACCTATATGCAGTTTATAAATGAACACAACTCCATTCCAAAATAGAAATAGTAAAGTAATGAAAAAGATTAAATTAAAATTTATGTTGAAGCAATTCAATTTATAATTTGTATTTAAAAAGTGAATATTTTGATTCATATTTTAGTTGGACTTCTAAGATTTTTCCATTAATGTACCATGTAAATGGTATTAGTGATGGCTTGAAAACTGCTCCATTTCTGAGAAATGTTAAATATTGCCATTTCTGTGGCCTCTGTTGTACCTTAACTCATAATACAGAAGTTATTACCTTATAAAAAAAAATTGTATCTTCCCTATTAGAGTAAATGACCCAAGAAAGCGGGGACAACGTTCTTACAATGCCTCATACAAAACAGAGCATATCCTAAATAAAACACTAAATAAATTTTAAATGAATGAATAAATGTAAAACTGAATAACCAAAAACAAATTCCACAAATTTGAAGAGGTGTTCTTTTATAAAGCAGAAAAGGAAAAATAACTCAAACGTACTGTATGGCACATAAGAACTTTTATAAATTACTAGTCATACATTTATTTAATCATGATTACTAATAACTCAATCAAGCTAAAAAAAAATAATTATAATAAGAATACTTCTCATAATTTCATGAATTATTTATATTTTTGAGACCTCATAAAGATTTTCCTACATATGATATAAGAAATGGATTATTTGTCAGTCAGCAGGCAATAAAAACAAATATAAGTTGAAAAATATGTTGTAGGATAGAGCTACTTCTTTCTAACATGAAGAAAGAAGGGCAATTATTAAGATCTAAAGAGCTCCTAGGACCTAGGTCAAGGAAGAAATCACAATGGAAATTAGAAAATATTTTTAATTAAAGAGTAATAAAATCTCAACACATCAAAACATGTGGAACACAGCCAAAGTCAGGAAAGTGTGAAGAGGAAAATATATACAAGTAAATGCACACAATCAAACAGGGAGGTTAAAAACACAGGGTCAAAGAGTTAAATATCCATTTGAAAGCAGAAAAAAAAAGAGCCAATGAGCCACAGAGAAAGTACAAGGATGTAAACAAATATAAGAATAAAAATGAATGACACAGAAAACAAATATATGTATATATACCTACATACATATATTCATATATGATAGATCCTCCCTCCCCCCAACTGGTGGGCGGAGTATGATGTAACTTGCAGCCCAGAAATACCTGAGTGACTAACCATGTACCTTATATGGACTATACATTGAATCACCAATCAACACCTGCCAAATACCCTAAGCCCTTGTCCCTAAGTACCAGAGTGCCTAACTATGTACCTTATATGGACCTTACGTTAAGCCACCAATCAGCGCGCACCAAATACACTAAGCCCCCATTCCTTCCCATTCCTCCCCTCAAAAGGTGTGCTCAGCTCTGCATGGGTTGCTGTTCTCCCATTGCGAGACAGCCTGGCAGGTCTTTCCCCTAATAAAGCCTGTAATCCTGGTTTTTGGCTCCTGATTGGTCTTTCAATATATATCAGTAATAAGCAGCAAGAAAATAAGTATTTTTCAAATATTCCCATTTCAGTAATAAAAAAACTAATAAAAATAAACTAATAAAAGATTGGTGAGCTCTATAAAAACCTATTAAGTATTACTGAAATTAAATAAAACCTAAAAGAATACAATGTATCAGGTTACAAAACTAGAACGTATAGTATTGCAAAGATGTCAAGTGTTCATAAATTGACCTATATATTCAACACAAACCCAACCAACATCTTGCCATGGTTTTAGGTGGGAATTAACAAGGTATTGCTAATATTTACAGGAAATGCAAAAGAACAACCAAGACAAATGTCAGAAACACAGAGAGTTGAGTTTACAATACAGCAAAACGAAAATATTAAAGTAGAATCATGAGGGCAAGGTAGCATTTAACAGAGAGAGATAATTACACCAATGTAAAGTGCAGGCTCCAGAAGGAATCCCAAACATGGAAAGACACCAGATTTAGGAGGAAGATAAAACTGCAGACCTATTAGGACATGATGGTCTTTTCAAGAAATAGTGCTGAAAAAATTAGATACCCATGGGGAGCGGGGAGAATACCTGATCTCTACTTCAATTAAAACACAAATCAATTCCAGATGAATTATATTTCTCAATGTCAAAGTCCTCCTAGACCAGCGGTTCTCAACCTGTGGGTCGCGACCCCTTTGGGGGTCGAACGACCCTTTTACAGGGGTCGCCTAAGACCATCAGAAAACACATATATAATTACATAGAAACTCATATGCATATATGCATAACCTAAGGACACAGAGAGTGGGTGGTGAAGGCTGGAGGGGTGTGGGGGGGGGAGAGGGCAATGGGGGCAAAAAAGGAGACATATGTAATACTTTCAACAATAAAGATTTATTAAAAAAAAAAATATATATATATATATATATATATATATATATATATATATATATATATATGGAAAATGGCAAAAGATGTTAACAGGCTCTTTCCAAATAAGAAAGACATCCAAAATCATACAAGAAGGTGTCTAACTTTATTAGTCTTCAAAGAAATGCACATTAAAACCACAACTGCTAGATACATATTGGAAATGCTAAATTAAAAAGACTGATGATGCCAAGTGTTGGCAAACATGTAGAGCAATGGGAAGTCTTACACATTGCTGATTCCAGTATAATTTGAAATGTCACTTTGCAAACCATTTGCAGTATCTACTAATGTGGAACATACGCATACCCCCACATCCAACAATTCCACCCAGGCACAAATGCAGCAGCACAGGTGAGCCCAGGCATGGCACCATAGAAACAAAAGTCCCAATAGGCAAAACTTAAAAGCAACTGAAATAGCCATCAACAGCAGAATGGTCAAAAGGCACCCTATGCAACAACAAAACAAATGAATTACAGCTACACACAGCAAAATGGAAGAATCTCCTAATTGTACTGGGCCAAAAAAAAAAGCACCCACCCAATCACACCCTTGTCAAAAATCAATTAACCATAAACTTACAGCTTTATTTCTGGACTCTCAATTCTGAATTTATGCCAGACCCTCACTGTCTTGATTACCATAACTTTGTATAAGGTTTTGAAATGAAAAAGTGTGGTTACTCCAATTTTGTTCAATTTTTAAAAATTATACTGGCTATTCAACCAATTGCAGTATCTACTAATGTGGAACATACGCATACCCCCACAGATACACACAGCAAAATGGAAGAATCTCCTAACTGTACTGGGTCAAAAAAAAAGCACCCCTATATGGAATTTACATTTCCATATAAATTTAAGAATCAGCTTGTCAATTTCTGCAAAGAAGTCAGCTGGAAAGTTGAAAGGGATAGCCCTGAACCTGTAGGTCAACTTAAGGAGTGTTGCCATTTTACAATATTAATACTTCTAATCCACAAACATGGGATGTCTTTCCATGTACTTAGATCTATTAATATGCTTCCACAATTTTTTATAGCTTTCAAATATGTTTTGTACTTTTGTTTATTCTTGAAAAATTTTATTTTATTTATAAGTATTTTATTCTTTTTTATGCTACTGTAAATGAAATTCTTTATTTAACTGCATTTCCAAACCATTACTTTTTATTCCCTTATCATGTTTCATTTTCTATGAGGCACTCATAAATAAACTTGATAACTCCAAATGCTTATTAGATATTTTTATCTTTCCCTCCCCTCAAGACTATGAGCACCATGACAACAGGACCTCTGCCTCCTTAACGTGATGCAGGATGATCCGATGGACAACAGTTTCTCAGATTATCACCAGTCGGGATATCAAGACTGTTTCAGATTTTTGGCTATTATGAATAATGATAAACATTCATGCATAGGCTTTTGTGCCAACTTAAATTAACATTCATGCATAGGCTTTTGTGCCAACTTAAATTAACATTTCTCTGTGATAAAGGTTCAATAGTTCAATTGCTGGGTCACATAATATTTGCATATTTAGCTTTTTAAGAGACTAATGATTTTCCAGAATAACTATAACATCTGATATTCCCATAAGAAATATATAAGTAATCCACTTTTCACATCATTGTAGTATTTGGTGCTGGCACCATTTTTCATTGTAGCCATTCTGCTACATGTGTAGTGATAGTTCATTGCTTTAATTTGCAGTCCTAGGTGATCAATGATACAGAATATTTTCTCATGTACTTATTTTCTACCTGTATATCTTCTTTGGTGAATTTCTCTTTATATTTTTGTCCTTTTTCTAATTTGATTTTTTTTTTTTTACCTGTTGGCTTTCAACAGCTTTTACAAAGTCTAGGAACAAATCCTTGTCAGAAGTGGTTTACAAATATTTTCTCCTAAGTTCGTAGGTTGTTTTTTCATCATACTGACATGTGTTTTCACTAAGCACAGTTTTTAATTTTAATGAGATGCAACTTATCAATGTTTTTATCTTTGCTGCATTATGCTTTTGATGTCCAGTCTAAGAGCTACTTTCCTGCCCTGGATTCTGAATATCTTTCCTATGTTTTTCTAAATTTTTACAGTTCTAGTTTACATTAAAATCCATGATCCAGTCTGATTTAATATTGGTATAAAGTGTAACATTTAGAGTAAGGTTTTTACCCACAGATGCCCAAACAGCTCTAGCCTCATTCTCCGGGAGGCTGGCTTTTCTTCACTTTCTCTGCTTTGCACTCTGTCAAACACCCTTCAGCATATTTGGGTGAGTCTATTTCTGGGTTCTAATGTTTCGTTGATCTTGGTTCTCTCCTTCTTGCACACCATGCTATTAATGTGTCTAGGTAGGATACCTTAACCTTGGGAAGAGTGATTCTTCTCCCTTTACTCTCCTGGCCAAGACTATTTTAGCCACTTTAGGGCCTGGGCGTTGCCAAATTAGTTTCAGAATAAGCTTATTTTGTTTAAAAAACAAATAAGCAAAACTTTGCTAAGATTTTGATAGGAAGTGTATTAAACTTACAGATCAATTTTGGGGAAACTGGGGAATGTTCCAGTCCAAGACTATAATGTACCTCTTTACTCAGACCTTTGATCACTTTCCTGAACACACGTTATCTATCTCTGGCATAGCTAAGATTGTGTTTCCACAGCAGTGACTAAGAGCACTGAACTTTTAGTTTCAGTTTCCACATGTTCATTGTCAGTATATAAAAATGGCACTGGCATTGGAATGTGTATCTTATAATTTGCCACCTTGCTGAACTCTTTAGTTCTGAGAGATTTTTTATAGATCGCATGGGATTTTCTACATACACAATCATGTCATCGGTAAATAGGGGCATTTTTACTTCTTCCTTTCCAATTTGAATTCTTTCTGTTTCCTTTACTTGCCTTATTCAGTGGCTAGAAATGCGAGCTGAGTGAGTGTGGTAGAGCAAACACCTGCCCTGTGTCCAGTCTCAGAAGAAAGGCATCCAACATGCACTGAGGGTGATGCCAGCTATAGGCTTTTACAGATGATTTTTACAAGAATAAAGTGATCCCCTCCAGTCCTATCATGGATGGTACTGAAAAGAGAGGATTCACAGATTCTACCCCAGTTTTCAACCCCACAACACAAGGCAGTCTTAAAATCGAAAGGAAAACTGAAGGCGATGGGACCAGGTCTCACAGCCAGGAGTCCATGCAGCCAGCACCCTCAAGCCCTCTATCATCTGCTTCCTGGAAGCTGGCTATGAGCTGCCCTGTAGAGAGGCCCATCTGGCCAGAAATGGGAAAGGCCTCAAACCAAAGTCCCTGGAACTGAGGTCCTAAGTCCAACACAGCACCAAGTTCTGCCAACAGGCCCAATAGGACCTGAAGGTGACAGCCACCTGATGGATCCTTGACCGAAGCCTTGAGAGAGACCTGGAACCAGGAGACCTAGCTAAGCTGCACCCAGATTCCTGACCACAAAAACTGTGAGGCAATGTTGATGTTTTAAAGAACTGCATCAAAATTTATATGACTACTATCTGTCTTCTAGAAATGTGCAAAGATATAATGTACAAGAATGTTCACTGTAGCACTTTACAATAGAAACCACCTGAAAATCTAAGAATGGATAAAAATTAGTGACTTATAGTATCCATATAAATGAATACTATGTAAATGAGTTGCAAATCAGTCTGTTTAATTTCATCTAGTTTTGTCACATCAAACACACCCCAATCATTCTCGGTACAGATTAATGTAGCAGTGTCTTGAGGAAGATGACTTTCTTGTACTAAGTATCTTGCACAGATGGCTCAGGCTGCTATGCTCCTATGTGGCCTGCACGCCAACTGGCACTAAGGGCTCACACTACTCTGTAAGAGGTTTTTTAAAAACTTATTTAATATATTTTTTAAAGTTGTTCTTGAGCCTTGATAAAAAATAAAAAATAAAAAGACTGTCCATTGAGTCACTGTTCCTCAGGAAAGACTGTGCATGAGAAACAGCTACCGCCATGCAGTCAGCTCATTCGGTTATACCCCAGGCCACCAGCAGCCCAGTGATTTCCACCTCTGACCAATGTGGGGTTTTTTTAATGGCCTCTTCCTACACGGTCCTGAACTTTTTCTTTGTAATCCTCTTTAGCTTCCATTTACCTTTCCTTCTTTAAGTTTTATTAACCATAAAAATTCTTATTAACCATAAGAATTAATACCCAATAATTATTTGTAATATATCTATCTGTAATAGGAAGTTCTAGAAGCTGAAATTCGTTGGTCACATGAAATAATACTGATAATGCAACAATAAGCAGTTAACATGTCTTATTTTAGACAAAATATGACGTCATCTGTGCACACTGAAATGTACTTTAACAAAACAGACTATACAAAAATATCTAGATGTTTCTTCACGTACAGTAAATCTTACACAATGATGTTAAGATTGAAAATAAATGTCTCAACTTCCTTTATATTCAAAAGTTACTTGTAATCAAGCTAAATATTAATAAGTGGCATAGACATGTCTGGAATATATTGAAAATGCATCAACCTTTTCCACTATGATGAGGTCTCCAACTTGTATGTCTGAACTCTGAACTTGCACTTTACCTTGAAAAGAAGAAGAAGTATAATCAACTCAAGGAAACAACAGCACACCAGAGTTAAACTTTCAATTAATAAATAATACTTTAGAAATAACTTTTTGGGGAAAAACTTTATATATGTATCTCTACTTATACTTTCAAAATAAATATTTCAGATAGACACAATCACTAAAAATTAACTTCTCTTAGTTAACTCCCAAATACAATTTAACCACCCCCAATAAAAACCGTGTGGGAATGTGGAAGAGGATTCCATGTGGAAGGTTCTTCCCCAATCTACCATTATTTCAGGTGTGAGTCAAGATAGGATGATCAGAAATATCACGAAATAAAATAATGTGGTGACAGAAACTGAGTCAGATGGAGATGTACAGTCCTTACACTCACCCTGGGAATGGCATTGACTAGCACATGACTAACAGAAAAGAAGGAACAGAGAATATCACCCTTCACCAGAAGCTTTTACAGACACAGGTCAGGACCACAGCTTTATTATCAAAAGTGGTTCTTCTCCATGCTATACTGTGCAAATTCTTAAAATATCTACATGATAGCTAGTGTGTGCTAATCATGTGTAACAGTAAATATATAACATCTACATCACAATGTTCATATCACATAGAGTAGATAAAACATTATAGAGGCAATTTAAAACACCAAGTTCTTTCACTTCCTGTGTCTCTGGGCCCAGCCTCCATCCCTTCCTCCATCTCTGTTTCTCACTCCCCTCCCTAGCTTGGCAGTCTCCTTCAACCTGTCTGTCTCCCTTTTAGGACCAGCAACAACTTTTACTGTTTTAATATGGGGAAAGGTCCTTTTCTTTTACATTCAGTTTATTCTGCAAGCTAATAGAACAGAGGAAAGTTCATATTGCATTATCAAAACCTAATATTACTGACCATTCCCCTGACTTTTAGACCACATCCAACTTATTATAAAACCTTATTTCCTAAATACCTCTTCAAGCAGCTGAGTTTCAATAATGCTAAACTAGTTCCTAACAATTTGTCTGGAGGATATCAATAAGCTTTGTAAATGCTGCTATGTTTTTCATGTTCCTCAATTATATAATAGACACATAAGGCTGGAGCTATTTGGGGGGGGGGGGGTGGAGCTTATTTGTGTTCATACCATAAAATAGCAATGTTCTTTAGAATTACATGGGCAACAAATCTTAAGATGTCTCTACAAGTGATAAGTATATGTCTACTATTAGCCAAAAAATAGCCAGAAAAGAATGTCTATTTCAATTATTTTTCCCTCGGTCACTTCAAGCTACCTGTCTGACTCCCACTGTTCTATTTTTATAGCTAAGCCCCAGGCAGTGAATATCCCTCATTGACCTCAGCAGAACCCCGAACCAGGACCTATATTTCACTTTTCTCTTCACTCCTACTATGCACCCTCTTCTCCTTCCTTCTGTTTTTCACACTCTCTGTAACAGACACAAGAGGAGAGAGATGAATAGCTGCAGGCATAAGATGCAATAAATGCAGGAAATAATTTTTAAATATTTTAAAACATAGAAAACATATCCTTTTTTGACTTCTTAATCAAGATTTTACATTCCTGAGAAAGTTATTATTCCTTCACATGATAATATAAACTATTTAAAAGAGATCTATACTCTGAAAAAAACACAAAACATTGCTGAGAAATATTTAAAAGACCTAAGTAAAGGTAGAAATATATCTCATTCATGGGTCAGGAGACAATATTATTAAGACATCAACTCTCCCCCAATTTATCTATAGATTCAATGTAATCCCAATCGAAATCCCAGCAGGCTTTTTCATGAAAATGGATTCCATGTCATATGAAAATCCAAAGAACCTAGACTAGCCAAAACAACTGTGGAATTAGAAAACAATGTTAGAGGGCAAACAATCTCTGATTTCAAGAATTATTATAAAGCAATAATAATCAAAAGAGCATGGAATTAGCATAAAGATAGACAAATATATCAATGGAGTGAAAGGCAAAAAAAACCCACACTTGAAGGACAACTTATTTTTGACAAAAGTGCATGGCAATGTAGTGGGAAAGAATTACTACTTCCCCTAATGGTGCTAGAAACATGGTAATTAGCCGTACGGCCGCTACCCTTCCCATTGGCTAATCAGGGTGATATGCAAATTAACTGCCAGCCAAGATGGCGGCTGGCAGCCATGCACTGAAGCGAACAGGGAGGCTTGCTTGCTCCAGTGACTGCGGACTCCAACGTTCCCCGCCTGACTTGCTGGCCTCTCAGCTGCAACTCTAAGCAACTATGTTGCAAATATAGAAGCTAAACCAAACCCCAGAAACCTGCTTTACTCAGCCGGGCTTCAGCCAGCCGGACCGCAACATTGTGTCAAATACAGAAGGTAAACAAAGGCCAGAAACCTGCTTTCAGCAGCCGAGGCCTCAGAGCTAAAGCTGGCCCAGAATAAAAAAGAAAAAAAGGTGCGGTTGGGAGCTTCAGTCACCCTCCAGCCTGAAAATGGCCCTCAGCCCCTCAGCCAGACTGGCCAGGCACCCCAGTGGGGACCCCCACCCTGAAGGAGGTGTGACCAGATGCAAACAGCCATCATCCCCTCACCCAGGCTGGCCAGGCACCCCAGTGGGGACCCCCACCCTGATCCAGGACACCCTTCAGGGCAAACCAGCCGGCCCCCACCCGTGCACCAGGCTTCTATTTTATATAGTAAAAGGGTAATATGCCTCCCGGCACCGGGATCAGCGGAGCCTCGAGGCCTCCCGGCACCGGGATCAGCGTGACAGGGGGCAGCGCCCAAACCCCCTGATCGCCCTGCGGCTCTGTGTGTGACAGGGGGCGGGGCCACAACCTCCCTATCCACCCTGCTCTGTTCGTGACAGGGGAAGGCGCCCCAACCCCCTGATCAGCCCTGCTCTGTGCCTGATAGGGGGGAGCTCCCCAACCCCTTGATCGCCCTGCAGCTCTGTGTGTGACAGGGTGCAGCGCCCTAACCCCCTGATCGACCCTCCTCTGTGTGTGACAGGGTGCAGCGCCCCAACCCCCTGATCGGCCCTGCTCTGTGGGTGATAGAGGGCGGCGCCCCAACCCCCTGATCCGCCCTGCTGTGTGTGACAGGGGGCGGTGCCCCAACTCCCCGATGGGCCCTGCTCTGTGCGTGACAGGGGGGAGCTCCCCAACCCCCTGATGGGCCCTGCTCTGTGCGTGACAGGGGGGAGCTCCTCAACCCCCTGATCGGCCCTGCTCTGTGTGTGACAGGGTACGGAGCGCAACCCCCCTGATGGGCCCTGCTCTGTGCATGACAAGGGGCAGCGCCCCAACCCCCTGATCGGCCCTGCTCTGTGCGTGACAGGGGGTGGCGCCGCAACTTCCCTATCGACCCTGCCTTGAGTGTGACAGGGGACGGTGCCCCACCCCCCAATCGGCTGTACCCTGAGCGTGACTAGGGGTGGCATCGCAACCTCCCGATCCGCCCTGCTCTGTGCATGACAGGGGGCAGCGCCCCAACTCCCCAATCGGCCCTGCTCTGAGCCCGACCAGGGGCTGCACCTAGGGATTGGGCCTGCTCTCTGCCACCCGGGAGCAGGCCTAAGCCAGCAGGTCATTATCTCCTGAGGGGTCCCAGACTGCGAGAGGGCACAGGCCGGTATGAGGGACCCCCTCCCCCCCCCCCAGTGCACAAATTTTTGTGCACCGGGCCTCTAGTATATATATATATGAAACATAACAGAAAATCTTTGAGTTGGGTAAATAGTTATTAGGATACCACAAGCCTTTGTTTAAGAAAGAAAAGATAAACTGGACTTAATCGACTAGAACCGTGGTTGGCCAACTGCGGCTCGCGAGCCACATGTGGCTCTTTGGCCCCTTGAGTGTGGCTCTTCCACAAAATACCACGTGCGGGCGCGCGTACAGTGCAATTGAAACTTCGGGCCCGTGCACAGAAGTCGGTTTTTGGCCTGGGCGAGTCTATTTTGAAGAAGTACTGTTGATATTTGGCTCTGTTGACTAATGAGTTTGCCGACCACTGGACTAGAACATCAAAGGGGCAAGAGAGTGCTAAGGTATAAGATCAATGGACTGGTGTCTGAAACAGCTCGAGTCAGGTACAAAAAGAATAAGCTGTAAAGACAGGAAGGGACCCTGCCTCCAGCTCAAGTGGCCTCAAGGCTATGGAGAAGCACAGCCACTGCAGAGGAAATAAGATCCTCAGAGGTGAGTCATTCTCAGTAAGGAGTTTGGAGATGAAAGCTGTGGATGAGGAAGGAACCTGAATCCTGAGGTGCAGTGAGAAGGGCAAGGGGCAGAGTGAGGATGCTCACAGTAAATACAATGCACAAGATGAACATCTGAGCCTCCACAGTTCAGTGACGAGTACACAGATCAAGTCACATGATGCTAGTCCTGGGACACACAGGCCCAGACTGCGCTCAGGCTGAGACCCACCCTGCTGAAGCTGGGGAGCTGCACAGGCTTGTGCTTAACGTCACTCAGTGCCAGGCCCTCTTCCCCAGGATGTGCTGAGGATAAAAGTGGGAATGAAATGGGCAAAGTCGTATCCTCATGGAGGAGAGAAAGAGAATGAGAGAGAGGGTGAGAGTAAGAGAGAGAGAGAGAGAGAGAGAGAAAGAAACGTGGATGTGAAAGACATATTGATTGGCTGCCTCCCACATGCACCCCAACAGGGGCCAGGGATCGAACCTGCAACCCAGGTCCATGCCCTTGACAAGGAATCAAACCTGAGACCCTTTAGTCCAAGGGTTGCTGCTCTAACCTCTGAACCACTGACAAGGACAATTAAAGAGGTTTTTAAAAACATTCTTTAGCAATAACAAAAAAATTTAAATGCTCAAATTCAACAGAATCAATTCTTTTTCCTGTTCTATTGTAAAAAAAGAATTAGCTTTAGGAAAAACACTGAAATAATAATATATTACAGTATGGTAAGAAACATTTAAAGATAAAACACTGTTATTCACTGGATCAGCTGTGCTATCCAACCACTTCCCCTCTAGTCTCCCTTGCTA